AAATCTTTTTGTGAGCACCTCGAAATCCAGAATTACTACACGCCCTCGCATCCACAAGCCAACGGATAGGCGGAATATTCAAAAAAAACTATCATGAGCAAAATTAAGAAGTGGTTAGAGAAAGCTAAGAGAAAATGGATGGATGAGCTCCTAAACGTCCTTTGGGCTTACAGGACAACTCCTCGAACCTCAATGGGCAAAATACCTTACGCCCTTGCATACGGAATAGAGGCGGTTATCCCGCTGGAGGTGGGTCTCCCTACTATAAGAACACAAACTTTTGATACTGGAGAGAACGATTACCAACTCAATCTGGACTTGGACCTCGTGGAGGAAATGAGGGAAATAGTTGTCTTGCAGTTGGCAAAATACCAAAAAAGGGTCTCCAAACTCTACAATAAGAGAGTAAAACCCTGAAGATTCCAAGTAGGTGACTTGGTGCTCAGAAAAGTAGTCAAAAACACTCATGACCTAACGGATGAAAAGATGGGACCTAACTGGAAAAGGCCATACAAAGTCACGTCAGTGAGAGGCTCTGGATCGTACAAGTTAGAGAATATGGAAGGAAACACTGTACTTTGGCTTTGGAATGTAATGAATTTGAAGAAGTATAATTTTTTAGAAAGAAAAGCTTATATTCACTAAGTGTGTTGTTTTGGATGGGGCATGGCCCTAGATGCAAAGTTTACAAGGAAGACTCTTACCTTTAAAGAAACAAAAGGAGCGAAACCTCCTAGAAGGGACATGGCCCCAGAAGCAAAGTCTACAAGGAAGATTCTTGCCTCCAAAGAAATAAAATGAGCGAAGCATCCTAAAAGGGGCATGGCTTCGAAGGCAAAGTCTTCAAGGAAGATTTTTGCCTCCAAAGAGACAAAATGAGCACAACCTCCTAGAAGGGGCATGACTCCGAGGGCCAAGTCTTCAAGAAAAACTCTTGCCTCCAAAGAGACAAAAAAGAGCACAGCTTCCTTGAAAGGGCATGACCGTGGAGGCAAAGTCTTCAAGAAAGATTATTGCCTCCAAAGAAATAAAAGGAGCTAAGTCTCCTAGATGGGGCATGGCCTTAGAAAAACTTGCCCCCAAAAGACCTAACTAGCGAAGCCTCCTGAATAGGTCATAGCCCTGAGGGTAAGGCCTTTGAAAAAAGACCCAAGGAGCGAAGCCTCTTGGATGAAACATGGCCCCAGGACATTGCCCTAAAAGGACCCAAGGAGCTGAAGCTACAAGAAGAGACTTGGCCCCGAAGACAAAAAAGAAGAAAAGGAAAGAAGCAAACACTTAGTAAAAGAAAGGTGTCCTTGCATTACAAAAAAGGAGGGTTTTGCATCCCTCAAGCTATAGAAATAGAAACTATGTTACAAGGAAGGTGAAAAAACAATTCTATGGAGGACCAGTGACGTCGTTCCTAATGTCTCCTTCGATGTTGCCAAAGAACTCATTGACACTAGCAGATAAGGAATTGGTGCTCTAAGGGATAAAAACAATGTTGGCACCACTAGAGCATCGGTGTGAAAAAGGCTACACGAAGGGACAGGACATCCAAGCCCTTTCATCTTCATTCGCCACGTAATCTAGTCAGTATGAAGATCAAGGGCTAGGGGACAGTTGATGGGGACGTTTTTTGTGATCAAGGGGGACGCGACACGTGTCCTTGACATATTGGCCGCAAAGTGTTCTTTGGACGACATGTGTCCTCGGCATCTTGTCTGCAAAGTGTTCTCCAAATGTCCGCGGAATCCTTGACATCTTGTCCGCGGAGTGTTCTCTGAATGTCCGCAAAGTCCTTGACATCTTGTCCGCGGAGTCCTCAACATTTTGTCCACGGAGTCCTCGGTATCTTGTCTGCGGAGTGTTCTTCGAATGTCCACGGAGTTCTCGACATCCTGTCCGCAGAGTCCTCAGTATCTTGTCCACAGAATGTTCTCCGAATGTCCGCGGAGCACTCTCTACATGACACATCACCTCGGTGTTAAGTCTTTTATGCCGACAAAGAATGGATAAGAGGTTTTTACGGTTATCGTGACTTGGAGGTAGAGTGGATTGTCAATGATCGGTTCCCCTTTTTAAGATGGTCAGAATGGCAAGAAAGACAGTCCAATAACCAATGGTAAAGATGTACGAAGTACAAAGTTTTGAAATGTTGGCCATTTGGAGGGGTGATGGACGAAAGTGCCCTTGTGCATGCGCAGCCATAATTAGGTCACAATAAATGTTCTCCTTAGAAGAATAAGGAGCATTTATTGCTCGGTGAGCTTAGGAAGGCCCGAGCATTAAATGTAGGAGCTTCCGTCACGTAAAAATGAAGGCTTGCTGCTTGAGGACTGAGCACTATCTGTTGCCTTCCAAATGAGCCAATAAGAAGCCTTCCCTCTAAGGGACCTATCTGTCCACAATGATTGGCTCCAAGGAGGTATATATAGCCCTTACAAACCCAAGTGTAAGGTACACAAAATTCGACCCAAGCAATAAAATAGTGCTTTCCACCCCTCTTTCACGTACTGATTTGATCGTCGGAGGAGTCACACTGAAAAACACTTTGGCGTCCTTTTAGCCTTTCTCTTTGAGTGACAGAGTTATCTCAATAAGCCGGGATCATTCGGACCGCTGGAAAAATAATTCACCACAACTCCTTATACCATCTCTCATATTCGTTTGTCATGGGACCATCAACTTTTCAGGTAAAACTCGTGTTCACCAAAGGGAAGATCTGTCAATTTATCTATTGTGCGGAAATCATCGCACACAATATCTTAACAGCCAACCAAGAGGACAAAAACAACATCATGCCAAGCCCAAGAGCAAATTCAACCAACCTTCTTCATTGATCTCTTTAACAAATTCAATCTATGTGTCAACAATCCAGTAGCCTTTTCTGGGTCTCACTCCATCGGCAAAGGCTGGCCGGACCCGGCCATTGAAATGCGTAATTTGCGATCCGGCTAGTGGGGAGAGATTAGAAAGAAGTATAGGTCAATGACTGGCCAGTGGAGGCTTAAGGGGAAGAGAATATTGCCATTTTTGTAGAGGAAAGTGAATTGTCTAATCATCTTTGTAGATAGCGTTTGCTAAGAAAGATTATGATACTGTCTTTTGTATGATACTGAAATTTGTTATTTTTAAGGTTAAGTTATAATTTTTGGGGTGTAAACTATAATGGCAAAGCATGATCAATTATGAATAACGAAGAGAAGGCTAGTAGGAATGTAAAAAATTTTAGTTGCCCATTTGTTTTCTCCTTTGGTTATGTTGATCAAGTAGAGAAGAACTCTATTTGTGCTACCCTTTTCAACTCCGACATTCATTTTGCATTGTAAATTACTTCAAGTAATTAGATTACTGTCGTTGTACTTTCTTTCAAAAAGAGGATGCGAATAGTGCTGCCCTAAGTGCATATAACACCACTGTATGGAAAAAAATGAATGTCAAATTATTATTTTTTAAAGTCAAGTTATATTTTTTAAAGATGAAATTATAATTACTTAAGGTAATTTTTGATTGATCATAAAATATTGTGATCGATCATGAATTACTTGAAAAAACTACAGAAATGGGGGGATGACTACCTGTAATAAAGCACAAGAAAATACGAGCCGACTAAAAGAAGCAAGGCTTAGATTACCAGATACTGGGCGCAATCTTCATAGAGATTGAAAGCCCCTTGCCTCTCCTTCTTGCTTGCTTGCTTAGCTAGCTCTTGTCTTAGTGACTCTAATTAGTTATAACTTTTTATTTACGAGTTGTAACTTAATTTTTAAAAATTATAACTTTCATGATCGATTATAACATTTTTGAATTACTCATGCCCTTGTAATTATAATTTACAGTTCAAAAATTTTAATTCCTCCCCCTAAGTAAATGGTCAATCAATTTTGGAATACATTTTCTTGAAAAAACATCATCCTCGTTCCTCCATAAAATGGTACCCTAACTCGAACCCAAACCTGAATCAATTTGTCAACCTGAAAAGAAGGATGATATAGAAATGCTGTAATTTTCAATGATCTTGTATATTCAAATCAAACTATAAGGATACATGTATGTCAAATAAGGAAAATGCTACATAGCCCCAAATGAAATTCAAAAATTCAAATTCAAATGCATGTCATCCCTTAAATGAGTGTGGGATGAGTGAGTCTTATTGAAAAAATTGATAGGACTCACTCATCTACAGGATGATATGCATTTGAATTACAATTTTTTGAATTTCATTTGGGTTTTATAGTATTACTCATCAAATTATACAAATGCCCTTCTCTATAAGATATTCAATTTTTTTTTTGAAAAATGTTACATAATGCAAATGAAACCCAAAAATTAAAACTCAAATACATATCATTCTTTAATTGAGTGTGAGATGAGTGAGTCCTACTAAAAAAATTAATAGAACCCACTCATCCAAGAGATGATATGTATTTAGGTTATAATTTTTTAAGTTTTATAGCATTACTTTTTCTTTTTTTTTTTGCATCAAAGAAACTACAAACTCTTTCCCAACAATTATGCCCTGCATATGCTTGCATGTGGCCTTGCTGAAAAGGTATTGTTGCAAAGCAAGTTGGTGACTTTCACAGCAGATCCCCCAAGTGGGTTTAATGAGTTGAAAAACCAGAGAATAATGACAAGTGATTCGCTAAAATATGCAGCTCACTTTGACAACGGTGTGATGGCTCCACCCTCCAATGCAAAGAGAATATGTTCCAGCACCCATCATCCCACCAACACCTTCATCCACAGCGTTAAATTACCGTCCGCACTAAAAAAATTAAGTTAAAATATTAAGTTAATAGAGAGGAGTGTAATATAAGTATTGATTTAATACTCTTCTCACGTATTGCGCTTCTTGATTGGTCCTTCAACGTGTTTATATTGAAAATAAGGAAGGAAGCATGATGTGATTTAAATTCATGCTCTCTAGACTCCGGTAGTATATTAAGCAATCAAACCACTATAAAAGGTAAAAAATAATCAGCCCAAAAAAAAAGAGAACTTTATATTAGACCATGGACATTGCATCCAAGACACTAACCCTACCACTGCTAAAGAAAATGTCTTCTACCACCTTTCTCTTCTTCCTCCTTATAAACATAGCCATGGCTGCTGCGGCGGCCACCACACTCCACACGGGATTCTACTCAGAAGCTTGCCCGAAAGCCGAACTTATTGTCAGGGATGTCATGAAGAAGGCCATGATTAGAGAACCCAGAAATGGTGCCTCGGTCATGCGCTTGCAATTCCATGATTGTTTTGTAAATGTACTCATTCTGCCTTTCATTCTCTTTCTTGAAATTTTGATCTTTTCTGTTTTTCAGAAATTTGATTTATCGTACAGGGATGTGATGCTTCTCTGTTGCTAGATGACACACCAACCATGCTAGGGGAAAAACTTTCCTTACCGAACATAAATTCACTAAGATCATATGAAGTTGTGGATGAAGCAAAGGAAGCTTTAGAGAAGGCCTGCCCAGGTGCTGTGTCTTGTGCAGATATCATAATCATGGCTGCCAGAGATGCTGTCGTTCTGGTAAGCATTTTCACCTCTATCCCGTGAATCTAATTCCATAATCAACTCGTGACTGTAACGTAAAATTATTATGTGCACGATTACATATACACAAATAATGTGCATCAGATCAACCCTACTTGAACTTGGACCTCGCATAAAACCGTTGGATGTGTGACTACTAATCAGTGCTGTTTGTTTGTTTGTTCGTTTAATTTAGAGTGGAGGACCCAACTGGGAAGTGAAGTTGGGAAGGGAAGATAGCTTAACGGCCAAACAAGAGGATGCAGACAATATCATGCCAAGCCCAAGAGCAAACGCAACCTTCCTCGTTGATCTCTTCAGTAAATTCAATCTCTCTGTTAAAGATCTAGTAGCCCTTTCTGGGTCTCATTCAATCGGCCAAGGCCGGTGCTTTTCTATCGTCTTCCGGCTATATAACCAGTCCGGTTCAGGCCGGCCAGACCCCGCCATTGAACCCAAGTTCAGAGCAAAGCTAAAAAAACTTTGTCCAATTGGTGGAGATGGAAATGTGACAGGAGACTTGGATGCAACAACTGACGTATTTGATAACAAGTATTTCAAGGACTTGGTGAATGGTAGAGGATTTCTCAATTCTGATCAAACACTCTTTACATACTCGAAAACTAGAAAATATGTGAGGCTGTTTAGTGTAGCTCAAGGTGAATTCTTCCAGGCCTTTGTTGATGGGATGATTAGAATGGGCGATTTACAATCGGGTCGGCCGGGGGAGATTAGAAGAAACTGTAGGGTGGTCAATAAGCCGGCCAGTGGACAAAGTGACTGGGACTTCAGGACAAGAGAAGTTGTAATTAGAGCCATTGGTAAAACAGAAGAAGAGAATGGTCCAAATGTCATTGTAGATGATGGGTTACTAGTCGTAAAACTGATCAGTATTTGTGTACTTTTAGGTTGGATTTTGAGAAGAGTTCAAAGGTGATGTTAACAATTACCATGTACAGCTTTGAAATAGTCATTTGCTCTCTTCCATCTGCAGGCTGTGGAGCTTTCTTGGAAACTTTATCTTGAAAGCATTGGAAACAACTTACAGAAACTAAATAAAAAAGGGGTACACACAAGAACAGGGAATCCTTTTTTACTTCTTTTTTTCCCCCTATTAGAGATAGAATACATAAAGAGAACCACCCAGGCAGACCAAAGCAATTATCAAGGGCGAGAGTGTGCACTACCACTGAGCTAATAGCCCATTGTCCGAGCCTCCCACTAAGGATCCGCTATGCAAAAAGCAAGAGAAATCCCATCACTCTCTTTCCTCTTTTTGCCCCGTTGTCACCACATAGGGGACAGGATGATTAAAAGAGGGATGCTATCAACTTTGTTCCAACATAGGATATTCACGACCACCTTCAAAGTGGATTCATTAGGTTGTCACCTTCTACCCCACTAGTGGAAATGTATCTAATGCTTGTTAATCCTCTCGGCTATGTCACTTCTTAAATCAAACTGAAAAATATTCATGGAACAATACTCAAACCGGCATTGTGTAAGAATTTGCAAAGCAGTGGAACAGAAACTAATTGCTCTTCTCCCGATCTAGGTAAAGAGAATAGATTTCTTTTTCTTGGTAAGCAATTTGTTTTCTCCCTTTATACTTACCAAGTCAGAAGCGTGGGAGCCCCAGGGAAATAGATAAGGCATCCAATCGGGCACCGGAAGCTCAGTCACTTAAACAAACAGGCTAACATTACCCAAAATCCAACAATCCTGACTCATGAGCTGCTTGCTTACTTATATTAGACCTTGGATGAGAAGCAATATGTCTAATCAAGACACAAAGGGCAGTCCAGTGCAAAAAACTCCCCTCATTGTGAAATCTGGTTTGACCGACGCATCCAAATATACGACGTACAATTGATGTGCTGCTCTAAAAGTTTTAAGCACAAAATGAGTGTAAACAAATTATGTGCACATTCTACATTCAGAGAACTCAACTCCTGGCCCTGGAGAGGGGGCAAAACAGCGAGAGGTGCCCAAATCACTTCGTAAAACCAAAAACAAGCTGAGTGGATGCGATATATCCATAGTTAAGTGCATAGCCCCAAACCACATCATGCGATGGCGAGTGACAACCCCACAACAGGGCAACCCCACAATAGGTGCAGCCAAAGCATCTAAGGTCAACGCCCATACTATATGCAAAGAGCAATAAGCATGCATGGTAAACATAAAATATTTGCCCTTCCATACCCTGCCATGCTGTGCAAGCAAAAAATTGAAAAGAGGCTGAAGCTCAGGCAGGCCATGATCGCAGAAACTTGGCCACTATTTTTTACCCAAAGTTCCAGGGCTACTCAAGCCAAAGGCTCGTATTGGCTCAATCAAGCACAGCACAACTGAACCAAAGAATACACCAATCAGCCACGATAAGTTCCCATGTTCAACTTGATTTTGCCGTTACCTCACTAGAATGGATATATTTCTCAAAGTTCTATATCAAAATGCTTTAATTAGAATTTAGAAGTATCAATAAAAATATATTTACCCAAATCTCATGGTTACACGCCTATTTGAAACTTGATGCAGAGTAACATATCCTATTCCAAAGGCATTGGACCAACTTATGGCTTCGACTTAAGCAATATATAAAAGTAATCAACCAAAATGTGCAGCAAATACACTACACGGTCAGGAGGAGATCAAATTTAAAAAAATCTCAAATAGAATGCTTGCACTCACTTGCAGACATGCCGCACCTGCACACACACAGAAGCATGTGAAAACACACACACACACACAAGCGCACAGGGAGAAGACGGAATCTAATAACTCAATCAACAAATATTGCCCAAAGATATGCCAAATGAAGTAACAGATCCACATTCGATCTCATCAAAACAAAAAAATCTCAAAATCTTATAAGCAGAACAGAAGTACTCAGTAGGCAGTCAAATGAACTAGTCTCATCTCAATAACAGTCAAAATTACCTCAACTCATCCCATAATGCTACCAAGCAATTACTCCATGAAAAATCCACAAACAAGGACTATATCCCAGAGACCTAAGCAATGACAGATGGCTTAGAAGCCGCAGAGAGTCTGGATCTCTTCTTTGCCAAGCTCTCACTGCGCCGTTCCCGTTGCTCCTTCAACCTGGTGGCAAGAAGCTTCTGGTAATCAGCTGCCTCAGCCTTGGCCTTCGCAATCCTCTTCTTCTTGTCAGATATTCTAGCACGCTTCCTCTGCAGAGTCAAGGGAGTCACCAGCCTTTGTATTTTAGGAGCTTTGCTGACCTTCTTCTCTATGAATACAAAAATGATACCAAACTTACTTTAGAAGAGTGAAGACGACTACCACATATAAACAAATGTTTTCAATAGCCATTCAATCCTTAAACTCTTCATCACTTGTTCACACCATTCTTCACTGTCTATAAAGTTTTCTGTAAATCTTATTCTTATCACTTTTTCAGTTGTCTGCACAAATTAGAATTAGCAAAGAATAGATTTGATGACTAACCAGATTTGGTTGTGAAGGTACGGCGATAGGTGTTCACATACTTCCTAACATCATCCTCCTTGGAGAGGTTAAATAGTTTCCGGATCTTCGATGCCCTCTTTGGACCTCTCATCCTTGGTTTCTCAATATCAGTCAGTCCAGGTAAATCATTCTCACCCTTCTTCACAATGACCAAGTTCAAAACTGAGAGATCAGGGCTAACAATGCACCCACGAACAGATTTCCTTCGGCGCTCTCCATTTCGCCTACCATATCCCCGGAAGCATGGAGTGCCTGTTCCAATGAAAAGCAAGTTCAGGAACAATTATCCAAAGAGGATAAAAGATAATATGCTAACATGGACAAGTGGTTATGAGATCCACATTTCAACAACCTCGATGTAGCAAAAGACGAACACGACCTGGAGTCAGGACTCCCTGCTTCATTGGAAAACCTTGCTTGTCACAGCCTCCCATGATCTTGAATACATAGCCTTTGAACTCCTGTCAAACCATTTCAAATGTATACATGTCAACATATCACTCATATTTAAGCTAAAGGTTAAGTGAAAGGCTAACAATAATACAATACCATAACTAAATCTTACCTCTCCCAGTGCATCCCCACTGACCTCCTGTGAGATCCTCTTGTCAAAGAAAGCCCGGCTGTATGACCATATTGTCAGTGATATATTCTAATAACAAGTTAATAGCAAATGCAATCTATCATATATAATAGATGCCACTTGACATCAACAAACATCCACCAACAAATCACTAGGTCTCATGCAAACACACACAACAGGCCAATATCATGTTTTTATAATCAAAAGTTCTATATCAAGAAACAGCTCCCATCCAATACAAAATGCATACAAGAGAATGGAAATAAAAAAAAAATGCCAAGCTAGAAATTTTGTTCAGATTTTCAATTTTCCTCAACTAAATAAGAAGTCTCCCGTGAAATTGCTATTCAAATCTTCCACTCAGCAAAATAAATCAAAACCAGCCAAAAAAGGAGCCTTTCATCAATTTTCCAACTTCCACCAGCACAATTCAACTCGACTCAACAAAACCTTTGTCCAAGTTGGTCACATAAACCTAATTTCTCCATTGTCCTATATAAGGGCCGTAATTTCCCTCAGACAGCAAGCTAACACATCCTTTTTCTAACAGAAAAATTAAATAATATTGGTCATCAAAGGAGATCTACAACTAAGAAACATGGACACGGCCACAGATACGACACGACACAGACAAGCCGATACGACATTTCCTAAAAAAGTAGGATACGGACACGTTGGGAACACACTACAAAAAAAAATTATATTTTATGTATAACATTATATAATTTATTACAAATATAGTGATAATGATATACAATTCATAAAAAAATCAGTAATTTATGATAAGAAAACCTAATGTCTAGTCATCTGTGTGAATTTTGAGACTAAAACATCCTCACTATAGTCAATAATCATCAATTTTTTTTTGAGACAATGTGTATTTAATATATAATTTAAATAATTGCTCTCATTTTTCCAATTCCTATTTTTTAAAATTTTTATGCATTTTTTGTTTTTATTATTATATTTGGAGTACAACTTTAATATGTCTAGTATTAATAATTATATGTTCTCAAATTTTTAAACTTTATTAATCATATTTTAACAAATGTCTATTGTTTAGTAGTATACACATTCTGAAAAAGTGCCGGACATGTCATCAAAGAAATGGTTGTCACGTATCCGAAATGAAAAATTTATCATTTAATTATGGACATGAATAAAAGAGTATCAAACATGTGTCCGAAAGTGTCCAAAGAATGTCGGTGTCCGACACAGATAGGTCACGTTCTCGATAGTGTCCATGCTTCATACATCTATAGTAAAGCCAAATATTTTATGCTCACTGTCTTTGAGATTGCTAACAAAAATGAAACCCAAACAAGAAAATCCAAGTGATAGTTTATTATTACAATCAAACAATATAAACTAAGCTTACGCCAAACATTAGGGCTCGAAAACAAGAATATACTTATAAAACTGTCGAGATCAACAAAAGACACACAACAAAACTGAAAAACTAAGCTTAAAAGGTTACCATTAGGGTGTGAATCAAATTGAGCTACTTGAGCTTGGATTAAGTTCGGCTTGAGTTCGGCTTATTCAGGCCTGGTTCGTTTTTTAAACGAGTCTGAACTTGAACAAGTTTTTAGGCTTGTTCAAGCTCGGTTCAAACTCGACTCATTTATACGCAAATACTCAAAATTGGCTAGGGCTCGACTTGTTTTTAGCTCGTTCAAGATCGGGTTGTTTTCTAAACGAACCGAACTTGAACAATTTTTAATACTCGATTAAGAAACAAGCTTTTCAAACTCGGCTCAGGCCGGTTTGACTAACAGCCTTAGCTACCATAGGTCATAAAACAACTAGGTTTGGACAGTGGGGTAAATAAGCAAAAAAACAATAGCTATAAGACTCATAGATTTCAATAAATGCAAAAGATTTCAATAAATGCAAATTAAAGAAAGTATTCGTACAGTTTCTGGTCATCGTCAATTTCAAGCTTCTTCTGGCACCCAGTCGTCGGATTTGCGATGTTGAACTGCAACCAAATATATACAATAAACAACATCAACAAAAAAGCAAAAAAAAAAAACATACACATACAAACATAGATCTATGCATAGAGAGGGGATTAGAATTTAATGGATAGAAATTTAGGGTTTTTCTTTTTGCAACAAATCGTATGTACCTTCATCGTCTATTGAACGGCGAAGAGGCCTCGAAGATGTAGCAGAAATGCTCTTGCTCTAGCTCAGGTCACTGGTTAGGAGATTAGGGTTTTCGGAGGGAGGTTGAGGCATTATATAGTACGAAGGGAATTATAGAGTGTGTGCCGGAAGACCAGAGAATGGTTGTGCCCTCGTCATGAGCACTGAAAATGAGTCTAGTCAGGATCATGGCCCATCAGTGGGATTGGGTAGAAATGGGCCTGGGCTTTGAATTCGCACCACCTAAAATTCAGTTGCTATTATTTAAAGGAAATTGGGAATCTATTATCAAAAAACCTGTCATTTCTAAACAAATATACTGATCTATCGTATTTTTTAACTTATTTATCGATTTATTGAAGTTTTTGAAAGTAGAATTAACAATTCTGCTTTCACCAAGAAAATATAGAGCAACAAATTTGGTGTGATCGCTACTTTTCATCTAAAACTATCATTGCTAAAATATTAGTTATTTATGAGGATTTTGAGTATATTAGGGTTAGGAAAAATTTATAGGCTCGAGGTTGGGTGGATAACATGAAAATTATAGGTACTACATACGAATGTTTAGTACAATAATTTTATAGTAATGCTAAAGTTACTGGAACAAGGAGTTTATTTGCATATGTTAGAAGGATTAAATTTCAAGTTACGATGTGTACCATAGTTGATCAACTGAAACCTACTAGGAGACACCTTGAAGCCCAATACCCTCTTAACCTTTGTCTCATATGTCTATTGTTGGAATTGAATTAATTGTAAATCCGGACTATGCCTGGAGTAGGCCAAATAAGTATATTAAGTAGGGTAACTTGATTGATAAGTATCGGATCCTGAATCTGATCACTGTTAATAATTTGCTACTCTAGTCTCAAAAAAAACCAAATTTATACTAAGAAAACACATTTTTTGTATTCCTTGGGAATGAGACATACCATTGACCTACCTACCCTAATAATGGATCAGATGGTCTTGAAAATGAAAAATAAGAAGCCCCCACTATCTTTTGCTTTTTTGTTTTTGAATTGTGTAGACACAAATGAGTGATATCAGATCCATCATGGCCTACTATGGAGAGTCTGATATCTCTAGACAAGACCTCATTGAAAAAGAGCCATGGAATATACAGGTAGAAGCGAAATAGGATGAACCATCCGTGTCACCAGCAGACCCATTCCAAGAAGGAGCGAATTTTCAGCCACCAGAAGAGTAGCAGCAGTAGTAGCAGTAGCCCTATATTCCGATAGATATGGATTGACAGACATATTTTGTTGGGTCTTGAGACAAGGATGATCCAGTTTGACCAAAAACTGACCCAGTACGAGGAGATCTAGTTTGATCATGAGCGACTTAGGAGAGGATACGATGGTAGCCCATCATCATCAGCATATCCAGCTGGAGTTCTCTTGGATCTATTTTTACTCCTCTCTTTCTCATCCTTTCTTAGACTATTTACTTTAATGCACTATTTTAAATATTTTTGATGTTGTTTTTGGGAATTTGGTTTTATGTTCTTTATGTTACTTTAATTTCAATTAGTTTAATTAGTTTATGTTGACTTAGTACGGTTTTGTTACTTGATATGTTAAGATGAATAGTTCATATGATTCATAGTTAGATTATACTATCATTCTGTCTACTTGCGGGTATAACCCTAAGCGAATTACAAGAGAATTTTATACTCTATTTGTGCATTGTTTTTATATTTTCATGGAAAACTTACTATTTTGTGCACGTAATGATTTCCTATTTTGAAAGTTTTTTTGAAATAACATGATCCTTTGTAAAAATTACATGCATAGTGGAGATGTAAAACCCGGATGCAATTTTTGAGCCTATCATCTTTGGAGAATTTTAAACGCTTACTCAAGTAAGGATTTTAGTTTAGCGTAATATTTTTTTAAATAATCTCATTAATCTTGTTTTGATTAAAATTGATTAAGTGACATGTTAGCATTCTCCTTTGAAATTCTTATGAGACGTATGCAAATGCACGTATTTAAAAAAATGATCTTAGGCCATTTGTAATTTTATTTTGAGCCATGTCCATTTCTTTTGCAAAATTAGACCCGTAGCAAGCTGTGATTGAGTTTAAGTGAAAAAAAATTTCTTTAACCCACATATTGACTGAGCCAAGAAAAAAATATTTATCCAACCCTAGCTATCTAATTTTCTTACACCCTCTCTTAAAAAAGCATTATACAGAGAAAGAAAAGTTGAGAAATATGATGAAAAAAGAAATGGAAAAGTGAAAAAAAGAAAAAATATGTGGGAAAGAGTGAAAGAAAGAAAGAAAGAAAAAGATGCAAAAGAAAGTTTTGCAACAAAAAGAAGGGAAATACAAGTAGTTGAAAGCCCGAGATTGAAAAAAATAAAAATGGAGAAAAAAGGTGTTGCTTGTGTAAAGTTTGAAAGTTAACGGGAGATGTGTGCTTACAAAAATGAAAAGGATAGCTTTTGAATCCCTTATATGTCATTTGTTAAACCCAACACCCTTGGCCACATTATAACCCTAATAAAGTCCTATTTGATTTTAGAAGTTATGCATATGTATTCTTCTCAATCATTCGTTATAAGGAAGAGCGTTGATACTGTTATTTGATATAGTGTTAATATTCTTTTATGAGATTATGTCAAATTTCAGTTTTTATACGAATAACCTTCTTTTAGAATATTACATGTGTAATTACTTTGCTTTGTTTACAATATTCTTATCACATGTAATTTTTGAGTGATAGTCATTAAAACTTGAGTGTGTTCTTTGCTGAGTGATTTCTAGGAAATGATTGACTTCAAAGATAAATTTTGTTCAACTTAGCAGAGGGCTGTGATATTTCTTAGAGTATTTTCAAACTGAAAAAAGTTCACATACACACAATTTTTTCATGAAAATGCAATGAATAATGTTACAAATGGTGTGTGTTACTTCTACAATGATAAGGGCATGGGGAATATTCTTAAAGAATGATAGAATATTGATTTAATCTTATGTGCGAAAAGTCTGGGTTTTTTTATCTTAACTATTGAAGTTTATAGGTACATTCACTATAAACCTTCACGAGGCACAACTCGTCCACTAAAAATCACCTAGGGGTTTACAGGTTTGTTGCATAGACTAAATAGAATCGTAAAACCTACAAAAATGGTTGGGTGTTTTATTTGTTTGTATCACTAAAGGGTAGTAATGTTTGATTGGGGGTGTGATTAACCATAGTCCCCCTCCCCTTTCCCTCCCCCCTCCCCCCAAAAAAAAAAGATTAACCCTAATAGTGTGAAAATGAATTAAGGTTTAGGGTTAATTGTATGTGTTAATTGATCTAAAATATTTGATTTAAATAGTATTATGTCTAATGTGTGAAAACTTTATTTTGTAGGGTTTTGTATGCAATTATGGAGAATTGAAAGGTTAAAGTGCAAAAAGAAAAACCAACAACTTGTTGGAGTCCGGATGGTACAACCACCATCCCAAAGGTGCCTAAAGTCCAAAAGTCAACAAAGTCATGCTTCAAGAAGGATTTCCAGAGATATAGCACCATCCGGACAATACCCTTAACTGCCTCAATTTCAAAGTCTTCTCTCATTGGTCCGTTGATGCAACAAAGCCTCTCATTGTTTAGCTTCCTCTTAAACCAACTTAAGCAGCTTGGAAGGCCTATAAATAGACATGCTTGGGATCATTTTCAACAATTTTTTACCACTTTCGAAAGGAAATACTCTAGGAGGAAATTACCCTACCCTAAACACTCCAAAGACAAATCTCTTATTTTACATTTCTTATTCTTCCTTTCTACTTGAAGGGTTGAACCTCTCTCACTTTTTAACCCTTGTGAGACCCGAGAAAACTAATTATGCATTTTATTTTGTGTCAGGGTTTAGATGTGAATACTTATTTTAGTCATTAGATTCAAAATTGAAATAGTTGAAAACACAAAGAAATATCTTCACTTGTTTCAGATTGGTAAGTTAAATTTCGGGGACAAAATTCCAAAGGAGCGAAAAATTATAAGACCCGAACACGCGTGACAAACATATAATATTTGTAATAAGCATATTCACATGTGACATACATGCATAAAATTGACAACCAATATTTAATTACAAGTAATGATATGAGACCTAAACCTAAACGATGAATATTTTAATAGTCAGAGATAATTTTATAAATAATGATTATAGGGAGAATTATTTTATTTAAAGTGTGAAAAGTTAAATACGAACATTGACATGTGGTATGATTTTATTATTTTATGTACGCTAGCGCATGTGGAATTAATCGGATGAGAAGTATGTGACATCAATTTATTACTATATAAATAAAATGTGGTAGTATGTACAAGGAGTGGTTTGGGGTCTGAAATACGAATTTAATGATATATATATATATATATATATATATATATATATATATATATATATATATATATATATGATGAAAGATTCCACTTAGGACGCAAAAAAAAAAAAACAAAACAAAACAAGAGTCTTACTAGAAGATTTCGGCAAGAACAAGAACCAAAAAGGAAAGAAGAAGAAACCAAGGGAAGAAGAAGGAAAGAAAGAAAAAAAAAAGTGCAGGTGCAAAGGTAAGAATTGTGATCCCTTTATTTCTTCTAAAATGTAGAAATCCAACTCTAATATATATATTGAGTGTTGCATGTATTTAAAGTATGGTATTTGGTATGTGTTTTGATGGTGTACATATATATGCATGATGTTTAGTTTGAGTTTTAATTTAATACATGAAGGATTAACCTTGATATTTATGTGGGTATGTGAATTAAGTTAGAGTTGTTGTATGAAAAATAGATAAGTGGAATTGTTGTATGTGGGTTGAATTTTGGTAAAGAAAGATTGTAGTTTTGTGGGTAATTAGAAATCTTGTGAATTGTTCTTACATTTTCATGAATTTCACGGATATGAGTAATTATAAGAAAGCATGCAATCTTATGATTTTATGGAAAATTATGTAGATTCAAGCATATTTTGGGTTACTATAATTTTATGAAAAAAGTTGACCTTGAATGTAATGGATTTGAATAGGTAATTTCATTGGCTATGAATATATTATTTTCAAGGGACTCGAATTGATCGTAGTTACTAGTTTAATCGATTCGAGTAATTAATAGTATTAGATGTGGAT